AGAGAAAAATTTCCCACAATAAAATTAAAGTCATGCATAGAATTTAAAAAATAAAAAGATATTTGGCATCTAGTACAATAACCTATTCTACAGATGAAATAAATGTTACTTACTAAAATCATTTACAAAACTCATGAACAATTATTTGTACTTTCCCAAAGTTAGGTACCATGTTAGTTTTACTGAATTATAATTGACAAATAAAAAGTGGATATATTAAGGTGTACAATGTGATGTTTTGATATACATATACAATATAAAGTGAATACCATAGCCTAATATATCCACTAAAACACAAAATTATTTGTGTGTGTTGTGAGAACACTGATATACTTTGTTAGCAAATTTCCACTATAAGACACAGCAATAACTACAATCATGCTGTACATCAGATCTCTAGAACTTATTCATCCTAAAAAACTGAAACTTTGTACTTTTTGACCAACATCTCCCCCATTTTCTCCAACCCTCAGAAACCACTATTCTACTCTCTGCTTCTGTGAGTTTGACATTTTAAAATTTCACATGTAAGTGACATTGCTAAGTATTTGTCTTTCTGTGCCTGGCTTATTTCACTTAGCACATCAGCCTCCAGGTTCATCCATGTTATCACCAATATCAGGATTTTTTAAAGGCTTCATGTCCCATATTCTCTATATATTCCTCCATCAATTAACACATAGGTTGATTTCATATCTTGGTTATTGTAAACAATGCTGCAATGAATATGAGAATGCAGATATCTCACAATATAATAATAATTTCCTCTAGATATGTACCAAGAAGTCAAAGAAATGAGATTGATGGATCATATGGTAGTTTTCTTTTTAATTTTCTGATGAAACTCCATGCTGTTTTTCAGTATGTGGGTGTACCAATTTACAACAGTGTAAAAGAATTCCATTTTCTCCATATCCTCGCCAACACTTAGTCTTACTGTCTCTCAAATAGGTGTGAGGTGACATCTAATAGGTATGAGGTGATATTGCATTGTGGTTTCCATTTGCATTTCCCTGATGATTAATGATGCTCGGCATTTTTTTCCCATACCTAGTGTATACCGTATGTTGTCTTTTGAAGAACATCCATGCAAGTCCTTTGTACGCCTTAAAAAATTGGGTTGTTTTGTATCACTGAGTTCTTAAATATATTTTGGATATTAAACCTTTATCAAATGTATGGTTTGCAAATATTTTCTCCTTTTCTGTTGATTATCTGTTCACTCTGTTGTTTCCTTTGCTGTGCAGAAGCTTAGTAAGTTGAAGCCGTATCACTTCAGTTTTGCTTTTATTCCTTACGCTTTTCGGATCCTATCCAAAAAAATCACTGCCTAGACCAATGTCAAAAAACTTTTCCCTTTGTTTCTTCTAGTAATTTTAGTTTTAGCTCTTTAATCTATTTTGAGTTGATTTTTGTATATGGTGTGAAATAATGATTTTCAAGTGAGTTTTTGTATATGGTACAGAAATAAAATTTTTATGCTCATGCTTCTGCATAGGGATATTCAGTTTTTCCAACACTATTTACTGAAGAAACTATCCCTTCCCCATTTTGGGCTCTTGATATCTTTGTTAAAGATCAACTGATTGTACACATGGTATAAGCTTTCTGTTCTATCGATCTTTATGTCTGTTTTTATGCCAGTACTACACAGTTTGGATTACTAGCTTTGTAATATATTTTGAACAATTCTGGAAACATCAAGTAGTATGATGCTTCCAGAATTGTTCTTGCTATGGCTGCTTGGAGTCTTTTGTGGTTACAAACCAATTTTAGGATTGCTTTTTCTATTTCTGCGTAAAATGTAATTGGAATTTTGATAGCTAATGTATTGAATATATAGGTTGCTTTGGGTAGTATGGACATTTTAATAATATTAATTCTTTCAATTCAAGAACTTAGGATATCTTTCCATTATGTGTCTTCCTCAATTTCTTTCATCAATGTTATATAGATTTCTGAGTAGATCATTCATCTACTTTGTTAAATTCATTCTTTTTACTTTTATGCTACTGTGCAGGGGACTGTTTTCTTAACTTCTTATCCATTGTTAGTTTATAGAAACACAAGGTTTTTGTATGTGAATTTTGCTATTTTGCAACTTTACTGAATTCGTTAGTTCTAACATTTTTGGTGGAGTCCTTAGGGTTTTCTATATATAAGTTCATGTCATCTACAGAAAGATAATTTTACCTTTTCCTTATTGATTTCCACATCTTTTTCTCTTTTTTGGGTCTAACTGCTTTGATTCAGATGTACAGTACTTTATTAACTACAAATGATGAGAGTAGAAACCCTTGTCTTGTTCCTGATCTTAAGAGGACAAGCTTCCAGCTACCTTTGGGCTTACGTAACCTTTATGGTGTTGAGATACATGCCTTCTATACCTAATTCATTGAGTTTTTATCACAATATGACAAACTTTGTCAAACGTTTTTTCTGTATCTATTGAGAGATCACACAATTTCTGTCCTTCATTCTGTTAGTATGGTGTATCATTTATTGGTTCTTGCGTATGCTGAACCATCCTTGCATCTATAGGATATATTCCACTTGCTCACTGTGTGTGAACCTTTTAATGTGTTGTTGAGTTCAGTTTAGCTGTATTTTGCTGAGGATTTCTGCATCTATGTTCATCAGAGATACTGACCTATATATATTTTTTCCTTTTAGTGTCCTTATCTGGCTTTGGCATCACAGTAACACCAGGCTTGTAAAATGAGTTTGGAAGTATTCCATCCCCTAAGGTTTTGGAAGAGTTTTACAACTTGTGCTATGTCTTCTTTAAGGGTTTGTAGGATTCAGGAGTGCAGCCTTCAGGTCCAAAGCTTTTCTTTTTTGGGAAGTTCCTGATTACTGATTCAGGCTCCTTACCAGTCATTAGGTGTAACTGGATTTTCTATTTCTTCATTATTGGTAGACTATGCTTCTACAAAAAAATTTTCCATTTTTTCTAGACTGTTTGTGTATATTCATTGCAGTCTCTTATTATCATTTGTATTTTTGTAGTATCAGCTGTAATGGCTTCTCTTTCATTTGTAGTTTTAATTGAGTCCTTTTTTGCATAGTCTAGCTAGATTTGTCAATTATTTAGAAAGAAACACAAAACCAACTCTTAGTTTCATGATCACAAAAAACAACTCTGAGTTTCATTAACTCTTCTACAGTTGTTCTAGTCTCTCTTTATTTCTGCTCTGATCTTTATTATTCATTTTCTTCTGCTAACTTTATGTCTAGTTTGGATTCTAGTACAGGGTTTCCAATCTTTTGGCTGCTTTGGGCCACAACGGAAGAAGAATTGTCTTGAGCCACACATAATATACACTAACACTAGCTAATGAGCTAGGAGGAAAAAAAAAAAAAAAAAAAAAAAAAAAAAAAAAAAAACCATAAAAAAAAAAGAAAACAATTTAAAAAAAATTATAAGTTTTTTGGGGGTTATATAAAAACCCATCCCGGGACATATGGGCCACAGGTGTTGAACAAA